GCCCTAGCAGTGTGATCCGGCTGCTCCGAGCGGAGCTGGGGAGGTCAGCGGCATCCGAGACGCTGCGCTGATTTTGGGGGCATCAGCACGTGTCCTCCTGGGACAACCGGAGGGCTGAGTGCAGCTTGCCACATCCTTCCCTCCTTACCAGCAGCGAGGGTCCCTGGGCCTGTGGCTGAGCCCACGCTTGGCCTCGCGCCTGCAAGAAAAGTTGCTGGACTTTGGGTGTTAAACCCTGAGATTTCAGGAGCTCGGTGCAATGTGCAGCAGGCAGAGCACCACGGCGAGGGAGGAGGACGTAGCACGGCACAACTGGCCAACACGTTGCAGGGTCCCCTTTGCCTGCTGCAGCAAGCCCCGTCTGCAGCGTGCTGACCACCTCCTCCAGGAGCATCTCCCTGTAGGAGCCCTTACTCCTACAGTGCTGCCCAGACACCTCCCTGTCCCCTGCTCCAGAGGATGATCCCTTTGCTCCTGTCTCCACTGACTTCCCAGCTATCTTCTCCAGCCAGGGAGCTTCTCACTACCTCCACCTTGGTGGCTCCCATAGCTTTAAATACCCCCTTCTCAGTTCAAGTAATAAATGAAAATACTAAGGAGCATCCAGCCTAGAAAATACCCCTCTATAACCCCGCTGCTGTAGCCTGGACAGCGAAACACATCCTGGTTCCTTGAATTCAAGACTTCTCCAAGACCTTCAGTTAATTAACAAGGTAACTAACAAACACCTTGTCATCCCATGAGCAGCTCAGGAGCATTTTGTATGAAGCCACCAGGACCAAGCACAGGTGGGGATCAGGGCTCAGCACAACAGGGTGACACTGCGGCCCAGGTGACCCAGGAGGGGACAGAGCACACAGCGATAACAAGTCCTTCCATCATTAAAATCTGTGGATTTATGAATTTCTACATATTAGAGGGCCAGCCCTTGTCATTTGTGGAGACAGCGTATTTGCTCCGAGTATTTATTCTGTTTGGAGTCGCTCCCTTTTAAATGATGAGCCGTCTGGATGCAGAACCAAACAAAAGAATATCAATCATGGCCAAATGAACGCCCTGTGAAACCTGATTTGTGGGCAATTAAAGGTTTGTCTGGATTAAGCTCTGGTGTCTTTTGCTTACTGTAAATAATTCTGCCTTTATTTATGTATCAAAAGGGAACCTGGATTTTTGGGGAGAGCTAAAAAAAAGGATGGTGTTTGGATATTGCAAACAAAAGCTGCAAGCAAGGTAAGAAAAGGGATTCTCTAAGACTGTATTAAACTCTCCTGAAGATCATAAATATGAGGAACTGTTTGCATTCGCCAACATTTACATTTTGGGGCTGGAGACTTGGTTTTCTTTTGTAGCTACCTCCCAAGGTCCCGTTCTTGGCAGCCATCCTCAGCAATCCCCTCTTGCAGCCTCATCCTCATCCATTTAAGTCACCTACAACTTTCCTCCAGTTTATCTGCAGATAAGGAAACCCAGGCCACACTAAGGCATTGGTTGTTGTATTTTCAGGGCAAAAAGTACCAGATTTGGGGGTGGAAGAGGCACAGTGACCTGCAGAAGACTGTCCAGAAGCCTTTCCCGCTGTGTCTTGTCCTGCTCCTTGTTGAGCGACCCAGTGACCATGCAGGGCACAGCCTGCAGCGAAGAAGGGTCTTTTTTAGCAGCTCAACACGCAGTTGGAGGAGGAAAAGAAAGAACAGATGGGCCTCGAGGCGTGTTATCCTGTCTGCAGGAAGAGCCGTCTCCTCCTAACCGACAGCTTTCAAGCTTGGGCAATGGCTCCTGGGCTAAGTTTGCACAGGGACCCTCTTCTAATGATTTTTCTTCCTTTCTTTTGAGCCTGCAAACTGCTCTCTAACCGCAGTGGGCAAAGGCAGACTGAGGTTTGGGACCCCCGCAGCCTGGGCTTGGTGATGGGCTCGGGCCCTGCCTGAGCTCCTCGCTCCGGGACAGCTCCAAGGTCAGAGCCGGTTCTGTGCCGGATTCCCAGGAGCAGGGTTGTATTCCAGGACCTGGTCCTATATGTTCATCCTATGGCGTCGCAGCAGCTATTCTGGGAACAGCCTGTGCCTTCGCCATTCACTTCTTTGCTGGAGATGTGAAATCACGGGGGTGATTTCATACACCCAGAATTAACTCAGACTCTTAAGGAAACTCAGTTCTGGCAGAGATCCCCAGATCAGCGTGTCCTGCTGCTGCAGGCTCCGTGTCCCCTGCAGAGCCCTGAGCAGGGACAGGGCTGGTGGACGGGGCTGTTTTGTGTTCATAGTCACGGGAGTGGGTGGGATGGGCTGCATCAAACCCATTTCCATTAAATAACAGGACTTTTCCAAATGGCTTTATCAGCCCCAGGGATGTCATCAGTCCCTGGCAAAACTGCAGGTGAACTTTTCTTTCCATTTATTTTGCTTAAATGACACCTTCCATGGCCATGCTGGGCTTGGAGAGAATCGAGCTGTGCTGCAGGAGGAGCTGGTTACTGAATGCATTTATTTCCCCATCAAAACCAGGAGCACCGGCATGCTTTTCAGCTTGGGCACTGCTTTTCGGGGCTGGCCAATGTGGCTGGGGAAGCTCCACTTCACCAGGAGCACCAGCTCCATGGGGATCCCGTTTTCCTGCTGCTGGGGACTAACCGTTCCTGGCGGTCACACAACGGATTCTCAATGCAGACCCTGCACAAGGGTTGTGGCTTTGCCAATACTGTCCCCATGGTTGGTGACCGGCCTGGGGAGGAAAGGTCCTGCTCTC